AAAGTGATCAACTCTGCCATGCAGAAACATGGAATCCAAATTGTGTTCAGAAGCATGAGGCCTTTTCCGCATTAGTAAGAATAATTATTGTATACCTGATACTATTATTATCTGTTATGTGCCCTTGAGTCAAAACCAACATAAAGCAACTCTGCTAGGGCTTTCAAGGTATGTGAGATATTTAAGGAGTGATTGTACTAGTTCCACACATCACCAAGACTTTCCATGACTGAGCTGGGATTTGAACCCATTTCTCTTGAGTGGGCTCAGTGGAATGTATTTGAAGAGAAAGTTCTGAAAATTCAATGAATGTTTTCACAGTTGTATACTGTGAGAACACTCAACATCTTTGTAAAACCCAAATTTGTACTTTAAATTGGCCCTGTGCATTGTCTTTGCCACATCCAGAATTCTGAACTAAATTATCTTGACTTTGCCTGTGTGGTCTTTGTGTGCAGTCTAGATCAAAATGGAAGAATCAGTTTCAATTCTGAGATAAAAAGAAAGGATCCAGAACTCTTTGAACATATACAGAGATTCACAAGTCTATGAGGGGAAAATAGGTTATTGTGTATTAATCTGAAAAGAAACACATTTAATTTGTTTACTAAGCATGCATAATATGATTATATTAAATGTTGGATAATTTATATTGTGAACATGAATCAAAAAGATTTTTTAATTGCCCATTTACGTAACAACCTAATTTGTCCATTGTATCACCTCAGTGTTTCAACATATATATAGGTATAATTTACTGCTTCATTTCAATAAGTACTGTTATATGACCATTAAATCTGACCATTTATTAGTTGGGAGTCATCCCCATGACTGTAACACAAATGCCATGGTACCTCAAGGCCAGAGGGAAGCAGACTGACATAAATAAATAAATAAATAAGTAAGTAAGTAAGTAAGTAAGTAAGTAAGTAAGTAAGTAAGTAAATAAATAAATAAGTAAGTAAGTAAGTAAGTAAGTAAGTAAGTAAGTAAGTAAGTAAGTAAGTAAGTAAGTAAGTAAGTAAGTAAGTAAGTAAGTAAGTAAGTAAGTAAGTAAGTAAGTAAGTAAGTAAGTAAGTAAGTAAGTAAGTAAGTAAGTAAGTAAGTAAGTAAGTAAGTAAGTAAGTAAGTAAGTAAGTAAGTAAATAAATAAATAAATAAATAAATAAATAAATAAATAAATAAATAAATAAATAAATAAATAAATAAATAAATAAATAATGTACAGAGGAAACTGTGTTTGTCTCCTTGTTCGCAGTCCTAAAAGAGCTGAATTAGGTGCTCTACAGGAAGATCTGATTTCAGTTTTTCAGCTGTCACATATTTCCCTGTCAAATGAGGTTAAGGATGACCTACAAGCTTACAGTTCTCCTGCAGTGTCTGTTGAATATGCTGACCCAAAGGCATGCTGATGTCAAAGAGCACCCACCTAGAACTCTAATGAAAGAAGAATTCTCAGCTAGGCGTGTGAGCCCAAACAAGAGACAGAAATATGTAGAAGGAAACTTTATAGAAGCATTTCCTGCAACAATTAATATTTACAATGTTGTATTTGTAATGCAACATTGCTATCAATTTTAATTCTTACTGGTATGTTCTCAGTTGCATAGGAAATACTGTGCTTTGTAATACGAATGTTTGATTTATTTATTATTTAAAATATTTCTTACCCTGCCTTTCTCCTTAAAAAGGACCCAAAGTAGCTCACATCATTAAAAGACAATATTTAAAGCTAAAAACAGTAAGTATACAAATATGAAAAAGGATTAAAGAAATACCACATTAAAAGATGGTAAACAAAAGCAACATCAAAAATGCATTCAAAACAATGAAGCACAAAAATCCATTAAAACATTTCCCACTGAGACAGCCAGTCACTAAGAGAAACCTTGCCTGAAGAGAAAGGGTTTTGCCTGCTTGGGGAAGGAGAACAAAGATGGGGCCAGCCTGGCCTCCTGTTGGGAGGGAGTTCCAAAGTCTGGGAGCAGCAACAGAGAAGGCCCTGTCCCGTGCCCTCCTCCAAAGACACCTGTGAAGGTGGCGGGACTGAGAGAAAGGGCTCTCCTGATGCTCTTAAACCACCCAATCAGGCTTATTGAGGGAGACATGGTCCATGAGATAGAAAGGACCTAAGCGGTTTAGGGCCTTATAGGTTAGAGAGGCACTTTGTTTAGAAGTTATCAGAAAAGAGGACAGTGCTCTCCTTGATAAAAACCCTCTTATCAGTCTTACATTGTTCACCAGTTACTATATTATAGGTTTGCTAGTCTTATATTACGTAGCCATTTGTGGCTCTCTCCCTCCCTGGCTCCTTCCCTTCTTCCTCTCTCTCTCTCTCTCTCTCTCTCTCTCTCTGTAATCCTGCAGTCCTCCCCCCGCTCCATTGCAAAAAGAAAACTGCCCTCTTTTTGCTAGAAGAGAGTTTGAGGGATATATAGAGATATAGTTCTGCAGGAGAAAGTAGAGTAGTCCCATGCTGGAAAATCAATTTCAACTGAACGAGGTCACATCCTGGGGTGGGAGATAACCGTGTCTCCTTAAGAGGCCGGATGCTTTTTCTTTCAGTTTTATTTTTGCTGGAGACATTCGAAAGAAAGGCATTCCAAATACAAGCTTCATGACCCCACAGGCACGCAGGTAATAATAAAGCAACCCAAGTCTGAGGGCATAAATCAGCGATTCCCAATAAATTGCAAGGCTATAGTCAGGTCATGCTGACTGATGAAATTTTTGACTGACTCGTGAGACATTCTAAAATTTTTCAAGCCCTGCTAATCTAGTGCATCAAGCATTTGTACAGGGGCAAGGTATATATTGAAATAGTGGCTAGTATCATATTGTTATTTGCCTAAGATCATGCCATAGCTAATTGCAGCCAGGGCACATTCTCTGTTGCACAAGCAGGCATGTGACCAAACACATAGCTGAGGTTTCTCTGGGCCTTCCTTGATTAGCTGCCATTAGCTGCAGCAAGTTCCATAGACCTTATGGGAACACAAGTAGGATTTAGAAGAGGTAGCCATATTAGTCTGTGGTAGCATGTCAGGCAAAACCAAAATTAAAAATTGTCTTCATTTTTAAATTTTTCTTCTGTTTTTGCCTGAAAAATAGGATTTTGGCCCATAAATAAATAGTGCCCCAATCTAGTGTCAAGCTAATGAAGCCAGATCTTTTTACCCTCCCTTCTGTGGCCCTTTCTTCCTCCTAAGAACTTTCTTCACAGAGTTTTTTTAGTTCTGTATGGCAGTTTTTTAAAGGGCACATCATTCTACAGGAAGCTGGAGATACTGTGTCTTCTCCATTCCACTAATGCAGACCATTCCATCAGCAGAAAAAAACAACTGGTTTACAGAAATAATACAATTTAGCCATTAGAGATGTTTTCATTCTTGTTTTAGAAATAAAATGTTGTACAGTGTACCCACTAACTGAGGCAAAGGTGGTTTTTTATTATTTTGCTCTTCAAATGTTCTTAGGCAAAAATCCCATTCCCATTTTGTTGCCAGTTTTAGTATTTTAATTTCTGTGGTAAGTGAAGTGTTAAATCTGTATCCTCTAACCTTTTGACTAATTTCATTTTACCTCCAAATATTTTATGACTGTGACTTTGGGTCCTAAATTGGTGCTTTGAGTTCAGTGTCATTTTTAAATTTTGGGTTGTATGGACCAATCTCTTCTTGCTGCACTTTAAAGCATTTCTTGCTCATAAACATAGTGGTGCCTCGCTTAGCGACGTTAATCCGTTCCGAAAAAAACGTTGCTAAGCGATTTCATCACTAAGCGATATTAAAAAGCCCATAGAAATGCATTAAAACACAATTAATGTGTTCCTATGGGCTAAAAACTAACCTTTAAGCGAAGATCCTCCATAGGGGTGGCCATTTTCGGTGCCTCTAAAGCGAGGAAACACAGCGGGCGGCCATTTTGTTTTCCCGGCGGCCATTTTGAAACCACCAATCAGCTGTTAAAAAAGGGTCACTTTGCCATGATTGCTTCCCCGCAATCATCGCAAAGCAAAAAAACCCCATAGGGACCATTGCAAAGCGATCACTTTTGCGATTGCAAAAACTCCATTGCTAAGCGATTTCGTTGCTCAACGGAGCGATCGCTAAGCAAGGCACCACTGTATAAATATCTTCATCAACTAGTCGGCTTGGGCTGTAATTATATACTTCTTTGCCTGTTAGTAATCTGTACTGTAATTTAGGTGGAAGTAAAGATGCCTGAGAGTAAGGAATGTGTTATGGATAGTTATATGTGAATGTTCTTTAATCAATAAATTTTATGGTTTCAACAAGAAATACAGTAATATCATGAATGTAACATCTTAGATTATTAAATATCTTTTTTTCATTTTTATTTGTATGTGAATCCCACAATTACCTGATAATATACATGAGCAGCTATCATTAAAAAACCAACCATAACTTGCCTGTAGTGAGTCCATAATAAAAAAGTAAGGCTAAAATACAACTGTTAGACTTCAGATGTCTGAAGTATATAGCAGTGTTGGACATCTTGAATGTCTGCATACTTTTGTGACCGTTTGGTTTGTTTTGATAAAGATATTGGCCAACCTTGGATTTTCCATCACTTGGCCCATTTATTGCTTCTTCCTATTTGGCTTTAAACTTGAATGAAAGAGTAAAATTTGCAGTTTGTTAGCAGAAGAGCAAAGAAATGGCACGATATATAATATCAGGAGACAGTTGTACACCTGCAGATACTACCAGGGATAGGGTTGTGTGGGGCAGAGAAATTTCTGTAATAATAAATGCAAATACGTAGTGTGCTGGGAGCACTTCGGCTGATTTTATCTGCAACTTAATAGCTTGGATGTGTTGTAACACAGTCTTTGTGCATAGTGGCTCATTCACAATGTTTCTACAACCTTTTTTTACATGATTTTAAAGTAGAAGTTTAAAAGTGCTAACTTGTTTTCTGGCTGTTGTTTCTGTGTTCTTGCCTATAATGTCTGCAACATCCATATTCTTTCGTAGCCTTCAAGATATTCAACAAGGGCAGCACTCCACAACCCAAGCCAAAGTCCAGTCCCGCCCCCATTCCCAGGCAGCAGTGCTCAGTGCTAGCGCCTCCTTGCTGGTGAGAAATGGGAGTGTCCACTTAGAAGCGTCACATGACAATGCATCTGCTGTCGGCAGCAGCAGTTTGCACGATGAACTTGGTATGCAGGTCTTAAGTAACCTTGGTGAAATCAAAGTGTTTATGCTTCAGATTTATGGCTTATAATGCACTGTAACTTTCATAGTCATGGCTTCATTTCAAAATTTTGACTGTGTATGCTTTCTGGTCCTCTTGGGTTTTTTCTTCTTCTAACCTCCCGTAGGTTTAAATTATGCTTAATAAATCATCGCCCAAAGATGCAGAACTAATTCATTGTCCCTGTATTGAGTATACTTGTTGCATCAAAGTACTGTAATTCAGGATACTAAACAGCAACCTGCATGTATTGTTTTTAAATACTCTAATTAGGCATGAAGCTAAACTTTGTGTTGTGAAATTCTGCCCCCTCAGCCCTGCAGTCCCCCAATCCCCCCTTGCTCTGGAGGGTTAGGGGACACACTGGAACAGACTTGGGAGGCTTCATGTGGGAGTGGAGTGGGAATTCAGTCTGTCAGCAGTGTTCATTCCACTGGCAGAAGGACATGGTAAGAATCAATCTGTGAGGCTGTGTGTCACAGTAAATATTCATAGTAGTACATATAGAGAGATATAAATATAATGTGTTTGTGTGTGTGTATGTTAGCCTGTAGCACTAATATTCAGAATGCAAGTAATATATCAAAATGTGTTGTATTCAAAATGTTTTGCATTATGTTCAGACATTTTTAATTAAACAATATTGTTGTAAATTGTTGCCTTACAGTTCACGAGCTTTTCTACCATGAACTTTTAAAACCCTCTTGCATTTAATTTAAATGTTAAAGGCTAAATGCAGTTTTTACTACTAATTAAACTAGACCCACTGAATCAGCTGGACTTACATTAGCAAATACAGTAACACACTTTCAGTGCATGTGTTCCATTTGGGACTTCAACTGGCTTAGTAGCAATTTCTTTTAAAATAAATTGCTTTATTTTTGACCAGTTTTATAATTTCATGTATAATTAAGGTGTTCAAGATGTCTTATTTTTTTGGTGTGTGAAACCTTTTTTCTAGTTTGTCCTTCTGTGACAGAACAAACCATTGGAGTTTGTTATTGTCATCTCATGACTGAGAATAATAAAACAAGAATTTTTACAGTATTTGGTAGGAAGTTTCTTCATAACTAGACATATTTGCTTGGGTAGTTGGCACCAGCATCATTCCCAAACCAAGGTTGATAAGTGGCTATAGGCATCACACTGTTAGTGCTAGCTTTCAGGTATGGCCATATGTGGAAGCCCTGAAGACTATCAGTGTGGAATACCGTCACTAAATGCAGAAGAAAACAAAGTTGCCTCCTGTGTTCCTTCTCCAAAGTGTTATGACTAGAAATGGAAAAGATATCAATGCTATATTTGTTCCCTGGTTGGAATTCAGAACTGTCAGTCATAAAACTGTTCTGCCCTCCTCCCCCATGCTTCCTTGGTATTTTCTGTATTTGGAGGCCTTTATATATTTAGGACAGAAGGTGTCTCTTTCTGTGTTCCTTGGATCAGTCAGGAACATTCAGGAGGACCAATATTTGTTTCATTGGGAATTAGAAGGCTTTTGCTTCTTTTCAAGCAGATACCTAATATGGCTAATTTATTTCTCTGCAATACAGTGACACTCTTTTTTTTTGCCTCCCATAATGAGAATTTTGCATATTTGTGAGAGCATTTTTTTCTGCTTCACTTCACAAAGGAAAAATACATTTTTACAGAGACGTTTTGTGAAAAATGCAAAATATTTGACAGAAAAGTACTTACTAGGTGTTGCATTATTGTGCTGGAGGTGAGGAATTTCACAGGAGCTAGCTGTTATGAATCACAGTAAGAAGATAATTAACAAGATTTCTTTATATCTGTAGTACTACTCAATTTATGAAGCAAACGTGAATTGTTTTTCTGGCACACATATATGGCTTCATTCATGCACATAACTCAGTAGCTTAGGGGCTCAACCATCTTTTTATAGACTAATTTGTACTACTTATTTAAAATATTACCGGAGCAGACATGGTCTTCTTTGTCATCTCTTTTGTGATTCAGTATGAAAGAAATAGAAATCAGATATTGAGGAAGCTGTATGAGTTTGAGCAGTTGGGACAGTTTTGAATTCTTTTCCTTCATAAAAAGAAGCTGTACACCCAGAGCTAAAGAATGAATGCTGTTAAAGAAGATTTAAAGTGCAAGCAGATGCCACCTACCATTCTTCTCGAATACTGCAGAATCAATGGATGTTTTGTTGGAGCTTCTTTGTGCTCCAACCAAGGTTTCTGTTGCTAATCCCTAGTGCAATTTCCATCATTGGCTCATGGTCCATTTATTTATTTATTTATTTAATTTATATGCCACCCACTCTACCCAAAGGTCTCTGGGCGGCTTACAACAATTCAAATTGAAATTAAAATACAGTAAAAGATAAAATGATTAAAATACAATTAAAATTGCTATCAGGACCCACAGTTGATGTTATTTCAATTAAAAGCCTTCTGGAACAAGAAGGTTTTGACCTGGCGCCGAAATAAACCACTGGTTTAGTCTAATTACATTGTAGAAGATGTGTTTTAGGCTATACCATAGCTGAATTTGCTACTTTCCTCTTTACGTTCAAAGTTGATGGGCAGAGAAAGCAACAGGAGATACAACAGGAGCAGAAAGCAACAGGAGCTGAATTTGCTACTTTCCTCTTTACGTTCAAAGTTGATGGGCAGAGAAAGCAACAGGAGATACACAGTGAAGTTCTTCTGTTTCCAGCTACCAAATGGTGCATCTTTGTTCAATTCACATTATTCTCCCTGAAGGACTATGTCTGATTAATTGTTATATTGTAATTCTCTGAATCAGGAAATCAGAATTTTATAACTTTCTATGATCTGGCAAGCTTCTCCCTTTCTTGGCTGAAAATCCAATGTCAGAGCAGGAATTGGATCCAGGAAGATCTGTGGCTGTGAGCATGCTATGCAATGAGGTTTTTAACACCTGCCCCCAACAGAAGCTACCTGAACTATGTCAAAAGCTGTTTTTACTCCTTGGATCAAATTTGAAAAGGAAATCGCTTCAATAGAGAACGCAATTTGAAAGAGAGGTTGATCCCTGCTGTATGTTCTATAAGCTGTTGCATATTCTTATTAGAACGTCCACTGTGGAGGTTTTCCCCTCATCGGTTGATCATTGGTTTTCTCTTCCTGTCAATTTTAGGGTTCCTTATGTCTCAGATTGATTTTTATGAAGGTAGATTCAGATAACCAGGAGAATTGCTTGGAAGTTTGTCATAGGGCACCCGCCATGTAGGGAGACAGTTATCTATAGTTTTGAACACACCATCAGTTATTAGTGCTTCTTAGCATTGCTTGAAAGTAAAAGGAAGCAGGCAGAGGGATGATGCCTTCATGGTTAGAGGTATCAGGTAACAATATCCCCATATGGTTAACTTAGAAGTGGCTAGTGTCATTTCCACAATCTGAATCTTACCTTGAAAAGACACATTTTCTGGTATTAGATGCTTAATTTACCATGTTTCTCAGTAACTTATCATGTTGTTGTGGTGTAATAATTTCACCCTTTGGTTTCAGTCTGGAGTCTCTTGGGTATTCCTGTGTCCAAAGCAACTGTTCTGATGACTAGAACTGAAGTGATAAAAGTATTTAAATGACAAATCTTCTCCTCAGAGATAATACCATAAGACGCACCTCTCCATAAGACGCACCAAATTTTTAGGAGAAGAAAACAGGAAAAAATAATCTGTTTTCTTCGCTCCATAAGACGCACAGACTTTCTACCTCCCTGTTTTGTGGGGGGAAAGTGCGTCTTATAGTGCGAAAAATACGGTAACTTAAGAGTTCCTGACCGTATGAGTTACTGTATGTGGCCTAGTAGTTCCACTAGTAAGTAATGTACTGTACTCCATGGCATTGTTTATTCTGAGTGATGCTGTAGCAAACCTGACAGACATATTCTGTCTTTACGTAATGTCAACATCTTGGATGGAATAAATTTTAGGATGACGAGCCACAAAAAGTTAGATGAACTCAAATCAGTCTTTTTCAGTTTTTAAATTATATTTTGTTTTTGAGGAGAAAATCTTCTGGGAACAGTTGGAGTATGGGAAATAGAAAATAATGAATTATTTTCACTTTCTCAGCTCCATGGGGCAGGGGACAAGCTCACTACATGTTTTGCTTCGAGTAATGTGGGTTGGGCCCTGCTTGCCGCTTGTCAGAAAAATGTACCCCCACCTTGTTCCTCTAGAAATGGAGTAGACTGCCATTTATTTGGTGACCAGTGCAAGAAAAATTGTGGTAGTAACCCTCCTGGGCAGTTTGCTATAATATTAGAGAAAAAGTTATTTTGATTTTTACTTATTAGAGCTAACAAAACCCAAATTTAAATGTGACTGTCAGATTGCGCTTTTGGTAACAGTGTGCCTCACAGGATCTCTTAATAGTTTGGAGTTGTTACAGTTCTGACAATTGGAATTACTAGTTGCATAGTAATAGAACAGCGGTAGTTGTTCAGAAGTTTAGTTTTTGGAATTACAAGTTTTTCTTGCATTGTCATTATTAGATTTTATTATTGGCTGAAATCCTGTTATATAGCCCGCATGATAACTGAGATGAACGTCATAATCAAATTTCTGCAAATTTCTGTTGATTAAGGCAAATTTCTGCTGATTAAAGAGATTTTGAGTGTTTTAAGACTAATGCAACAAATTTGGAAATTGCCATAGGAAGCCTTTAATCAGTAGCAATTTGCCACTACTGGTGACATCATTGTTGCACAAATAGAGCTGTGCAACAGGATTTAAGCCATTGTTTGCTGTCCATTTTTAGATTTTGTTCTGCTTGTTCATAGAGACTAATCTCTTTCCATGTATTTTATGTTTATGATCTGCCTATGTCTATTGGGTAATTGTAATAAAGTACTGCAGTTTGGATCTTTGCCCTGTGGAAGAAAGTAATGCTGCTTTTCACTTGACATTATAAGTGTACTCAGTGTTAGGAAGAAAGCATAGCATGGTGTGTGCATATTGCATAT